CTGCAATCTTAATTGATTTGTCACCAAAAATTAAAAGATTGTCAGACTTGAGGTCTCTGTGGATCAATTGAAGGCCATGAACATATGCCATTCCCCTTGCAACATCTAAAGCCTGTTTGACTGCCAATTTGAGGGGAACTGATCGATTTTGCCGCTTCATTAAAAACTGTCGAACCGAACCACCCTTAGCATACTCTGTTACAATACACCAGACCTTTGGCTTCCGGCATGCACCAATAAAACGAACTATATTAGGATGCTTTAGTGTAGCCAGCATCATGACCTCCTGCTGAAACTGTTGTTCCATCAATTGAGCCTTTGCTACATCATTTTCAGGCCTCTCCAAAATTTTGATTGCAACATCTTCGTTATTGTAAGTCCCCCTGTAGAGTTTCCCAAAAGCCCTTGCGCAAAAGCCTCACCCATACTGAGCTTTCTCAAATCAATTGTCCACTCATCAAAATTGTCAAGACCCTCAGTTGGGGAGCTGCTGTCCATTAGAGCTTGAGCCAAACCATCATCACTCAGGGCATGTGTGACTCTTCCTCTACGGTTCACGCTGTGCCCAACCGAGTGGTTATCATTGGCCCGCCTTCGCAATCCTTGGTGGTTTAAAATGCGAGTATGTGAATCATTGGACCCAACACTGCTATTATCAACTGACATTGCAACAGATCCCCCACCGTTGCTTGTTTGCATGCTTCCAATGCTGTCAACTGACATATTGGTACCTTCTTCCAGCTTATGGTAAAAGCCTTGAGAAAAATCATAATAGTGATTGTTATGTTTGTTTAGGTCTATTATACCAGGGAATTTCGCACCCCCTTCCAACATGTTTACCGCTGAAAAGCAAAGCCTTCAAGTATTGTTATTTCTTCAGCATCAGAAATTGCAAAACAAACCACCTGAAGAAAACCCAAAAATCAATATATGGATAGGTCGGTTTTGAGAACTTGAAGTTCAATGCTTCAGTTACCACAATAAATGTAACATCGTGTTTCCATGCGTCTTCCATTCAACACACGCCAAATTAAAAGCATTAAACTTTTAAAACCATCAAAATAATTTCAAGGATAATTTTAAAAAGAAAAAAAAAGTAAATAAGAATTCATTAATGCTCCCGAAATCAGATTATAGACATAATAAAAAATGGAAGAGAGGCTATTTCATCAATTCAATTGCTTTATCACAACTATGGACATTTTTCTAAACTGGAAATGATTCGCACGCAAGAAAACAAGGGAAAGTAGGAATACGTCATGGGACCCAAACTTCACGATCTGCAACAAAACAACATAAGGGAGCTACCTTCAACGCAAATTGAAAATAGGAGCAGCTTATACAAACATGATTCTGACAGAGACAATCAATTTACAGGAAGAAGGGGGGAAAAAACAACCCACGAACGGAGAAAAATTGAGCAAAACCACGGATTGAAGGTCATAAACTCCTTTACACCAATTACTTCAGCTAAATCAACTCTCCCATATTAGCGAACTTCTCAGTCATCTTATCTTATAAGGAAACAGAAAAAGATACGAAGTACTGATACCTCGCTGAACCCTAAAATTTAATAATTACAGAATCAAAAGCTTAAAGAGCCGTAGCATCAGGTACCTGAAGAGGGCTTAACTATGCGAGCTCCGATGGGAAAGTCATCAAAAAGAGGAGACAAGATCGAAAAAGGAAAGAATGAAATCGAAATGCGGAAGATTGCGCCCCTGTAGTGTGTAGGGAAGAAACCAAAGACCAAAGACCGAAGGAGGACTTTCTTTTTAATTTTTTATTATTCCTGTGCTCAGCCTTTTCTTATTACTTTGCTTCCCCCTAGCGTTCCTGGGAGTAATGTCTTTGGCCACAACACGTTTTTCTTCCACATCTTCTATTTTCTTCGCGACGTTATTTCTTCCATATATGGGAAACTGTACTGTTTATACTCCCATATCTGAATTTTGTTTCCGGTTCATGGCCAAAAAAAAAAAGTGATTGAGAAGTTGTTCACCATCATTTCAAGCTTATCGATTTTGTTAAAATAAAAGAGGTCATTTCGTTTTTAAAAAAAAAAACTTTTTGGCCAGAAAAAAAAATCAAAAAGAGCTGTATACATGCACAAGAAAATTTACAAAATCAATCTGCACAAAGGTTCCTTAAAATGAGATTATAAGTAATAGCTGATCATTTAGTTAAACCATCCCATAATTTAAATATTACCTCCAGTCCTAATTATAAGAGCCAGTTGACTAATTTAAGGAGATTAAGGAAATAAGTTGAGTTAGTTATTTGTCCTAAATAGGTGTTGTCTTTTCTAAAATATTCTTGCCAATCAAGTGTATTGACTAGAACTATCATTGTTAGAATGGCTACTTTGAAAAAAAAATGCATAAATATAAGAGACAAAGTGAATTGAGATCTTATATTTAAGATCAAAATAAAAATCAAACAAGATCTTATATTAACGACCGGAGGTAGTAATAAATTTCATTGGCTAGAGATGAAATTTCATTCGAATCCAGACGCAGCCGGTTCCCCTTGAAGCACTTGATTAGATTTCTAAAAGCAAAGCATTACTGTGAGAGAGCGATCGAGACAAACTCTAAATACTAGATATGATTAAGCTCGGTCTCTTGATCATCAAAATTTTCATTAACTGATCTGAGAATCTAAATTTTCTGTTTTTTTTTAATGTTTTTGTTTGTTATTTTGATTCTCTTTGTAATTTTTCTATAAATTAATGGATTTCAGTATTTTACTCAAAAAATAATCTGTGTTAGACAAGTATTTATTAACAAAAACATGATAAATTGATAATGCCTAACTTCTCATGACGTTTTTATCACTTTACTGAAATAAACACTACACCATTAATTTTGCAGATATGAAGCTAGTGATATTTTATATATCAATATATATATATTTATATAGAGAGAGAGAGAGAGAGAGAGAGAGGCATGCATATTTACCAGAAAATGACTACATTATCAGGATTCTAACGCACATTCGCATTTTTTTTTATTATAAGATCTTCAATATTTGTTTTTTGAAACAGGCAAACAGCATATGAAAACATAATCTTGGTAATGATTATGCCATAAATCATAATGTGATGCAAGATTATAATTGACAATAGTTCTGCCATATAATACATGATTTTTTTTTTAAACCAGATATAACACATGAATTGGATATCATAAGATTTGACGTGTTCATAATTTATTGGAGCAAAATATAATGATCTCGCTTTGGTTTTGCTAAAATTACTGACATTTTCCTTTAATCGCGTTAAGAATATTCTAAAATTATTCTAATTGTCTTCTCTCTCATTGTAAAAATTAAAATTTTCGTAAATTATATTCAATAATCTATCTCTTATTATATTAAATCCCTATTTCATTGAGTTTTTTTATATAGGTATTTGAAAAATATTAAATTAATAATTTTACAGAAAGAACTAAAATGAAATACTATCTCCAGTCCTAAATATAAGAGCTAGTTGACTAATTTGATTCAATTAAGAAAATAAGTTAAGTTAATTATTTATAATAAATATATGTTATATTTTATAAAATATCCTTACTAGTTAAGAGTATTGACTAGAACTATCATTATTTGAAAGACTATCTTAAAAAAAATAGGAATAATTAATCTGCAAGTCCTTATAGTTTTAACTAATTTTGAATCAGTTCCCTATAATTTTTTTTTCTTTTTATCAAGTCTTTATAAGTTCACCTTATTTTTAATTAAGTCCCTGAATTTTTTATTCTTTATTTTATAAATTCTAATAGTACTATTCTATAAACATAAAATAATATGTATTATTTAATATTAGTTTATAAACAATGATATTCTAAAAATGATGAATTATTATAATAATTTTATTTTTTTAGCAAAAAAAATTAATTGTTCTAAAAAATTTTCCTGAATTAATTAATTATATTACTTATCCTTTATTATAAAATTATTAATTTAATTTAATTATTAATATTTTATATTTCAGTATTAATTCATTTAATTAAGTTTATATTTAATCAATAAATAAAAATTAAAACTAGATGGACCTAATTAAAAATTTAGTGAAATTATAAGGACTTAATAAAAATAAATAAATATGAGGACCTAATTAAAAACAGATAAAAATATAAGGACATGATAAAAAAGAAAAAAAACTATAAAGATCTAATTTAAAATTGGTTGAAACTATAAGAATCTGCGGATTAATTAAGTCTAACCATATAAGACCAAATTTATACACTTCAACCAAAAATTATTTATCTATATTAAAGTTGGACATGTTTTCTTATTTGGTTAGAAATTTTAGATCGAAAGAAGGACTCTTTTGCCCTCATTTCAACTTCCCTTCAAACTGAGATTTTTAGTAAGGAGCTAAATTTTTTTCTATTTTACTCTATAATTTTTAGATATTCTATTAATACTTATTAGAGAAAAATAAATTCACTCATCATACATTTCAGAAATTGAGGGCAAATTAGTTTAAAGTAAAAAAGATTCCCTATTTTGCCCACGTAATTTTTGAAGTTTTTCATTTCATTAATAGCCATGAAAAAAAAAAAACTTTTCACTCGAAAGAGAAATAACATAAAAATTAAAAAAATTATTGACTATTTCACCCTCCTAATTTTTGTGATATTTCATTTTTAAAATATATTATTATATTAATTTGAAATTAAAAAAATATCATTATATTATTTTTTATACACATTAAAAAGGTGTGGGGCGAGAATAAATTTTAATAATTTATGTAATTTGAATGAAGATGCAAATTAATTTATGTAACATGTAAACCACAAAAAAAAAACACAAATATAAACTAAAGAAATAACAACCAGGTTATTCTAAAGAAATGAAAAAGCAAATAATAACCGGGTTTTAGTTTTCTTCAGAATAAGTTACCGTGTGAATGACATTTATAAAATGTCACGAAAGCAGCGGGTGGCGATGCCACGAGACCACCAATACAAGGCCATGTGCCTTCTCACCTTTCATTTTTGCAACTTCTCTCTATTCATAAATGTAACTTGATCATGTACATACACATCAACAGTCCTCACTTTTTCATCCATGACCTCATATACCATCTTGCTTTCCGAAGCTATACATAATTTCTGCGCATGCATGTATAAATACATTTTAAATCTCCTCTTACTAATTCAGAAACAGACATCCAGTATTAAAGAAACCCAAATAAAACCAAAAGGTCTTCCAAATAAGATTTTTCCTTTTGTCTACTGAAGAAGGAAAAATAAACACACAGATACACAATGCAACAATGCAGTCGCCTTTTGCTTCCTGAGACTCAACCTGAAATTTTTTTGACTCTGTTCTTTGGGAACTTACCATTTTGTTTTTCCAGCTTCTTCAGTCAGATGTCATGGGTTGCGTCATGCAACACCGAAAACGGGCCTTACGAACAGTCGTCATGATCTCGGTCTCTGCATTCTCTAGCATCGCCACGATTTGAGTAAAAGGTGGCCTAACGTCAGGGTTGGGATCCCAGCATCTTGTCATGATGTCTCGGAGAATGGGTAAGCAGTCGTTGGGTATGGTCGGGCGAACATTTCTGTTGACGACTGCAAATGCCGCTTGTACGGCTGTCATGTTCTGAAATGGAAGCATTCCAGTAATGAGCTCCCAAAGAACAATACCAAAACTATATACATCCACCTTTTGAGTGTAAGGCCTGTGTTGGATCATCTCTCTGCAACAGATAAGGAGGTAATAAGTTCAAGTACTACATCAGTTTGTGCATTTGCAAATTGAACTGCATGACATAAATCCACATTTTAGTAGTTTCACACTGGATGACCCTTCAGCTGGTTGTCTGGTGTGAGTGTGACACTCATCTCAAACATACAGGCTTCAGCTCAGATCAATCACACAGACAATAAATCAACTTGCTTCCAGTGGTAACATGCAAAAACATGTTCCCTGAAACCAGCATCATCAAGTAATTATCCTACACAACTATGAGGTATAATTACTGATATCATTCGTACAGGACATTTGATACGTAAGATTGTCGGATACAGAAAATGAAGAAGTGAATGGAAATGACACTCATGTCCCTACTCAAAAATTGAACAAGATGAGACAACAAAAGAATGTCGATTAACAATAACAACAAAGACAAAACAGAATCGTATTAATTAGATATTGTTGATTCTATTCATTCGATTTCCAATAGATTTCCTTCTCCATCTCTCTTTCTGTCTCGGTTTGGGAACCATGTGATGTCTTGAAAATGGTTTCTCAATCAATAGTCTTAAATTGCCATACAATAAAAAAGTACTAACTGATTCAAAGAAAAGTCAGACTACTCAATAGGATCGAGCACTAATGACATGATGCATATAGCCAAGACCTAGAATAGATCACTCCTCACATATGCTTCACGTGCCTAAGTAAAATTTTCTTCTCACTATCTATTTACTAAATCTATATAATCCAAGTTGTTTGGAGTCTTCGGCAGACACTGAATGTGTCCTCAGAAACTGGATTAATTCAATTCGATCAGGCATAGAGGCTGAAAGTCATTGGCACTTTGCAGATTTTTCGTTGTCAGGAAGCATTTGGATCAAGAACGCCAACGTTTGAAAGGGAATATCTGCCTTCCTATAGCTATAAGAGATGATAATTATCATGACTTCCACTGGTTCCGTCAGGCTTACTAAGAAGTTCCCTAATTTACATAAATAAAGCATTCGAACCGAAGACAACATAGATCAGCGAAAAAAGCACACTGCCAATACACTTTTCCCTCTCCACTACCAAAAAAACAACCTCAAAATTTAATCAATACGAAATATTCCAAGCTCTGCAGGCACGCCTAACTAAGATTCACTAGAAAGCTAACAAGATTACAGGAGATAGTCTATAAAGGTAAAAGATCCCAGATCCCTCTACATAATCTCCAGAGATATGCTTCCAATTCTATCAGCCCACCAATATTCTATTTTCCGTTATAATCATCACCAGTTGCCATGAAATGCCAAACCACAGCAGCCTAAATATGGAACACCAATCTCGTACTAACAGATTATGGCCCAATTTATATTTATTAGTCACATAGATTTAATACTACATGGCTTATACAAAATAACACGTACTGCCATCATCAGTATTGTCAACAGGGCTGCAGAGGAGGAATGGGAGAGTAGTTTTAGCACTTCCTACTGTAAACTCTCCAAGGCACGGTGGCGCCATAACAGTTGCAATTTCTGTGGTCAACATAACCTAGAGCTTATTTCAGGCTCGCCACTGTATTGACAACACTGATTATCATAGCAATTGCAGATGCCAAAATAAAAAACTGATGCACCTGGTGACTATTATCATGCTGCATAGTTCTAGTGTGATAATAACGGTCAGTCTGTTATGAAAAATTGTTGAGGGTAAAACAAAAATGTCTTAAAAGCAAGCAAAAAAGCAATTTGATCTGAGAAAAGCTCATGATAGGTATGAAAAACTTAAGAGCCTAAATAATATTTTGACATAAGAACAACTATTTTACCCTATTCTTAAGTCTCTAAGACCTGATAGGACTTCCCTGATTGGGTTTTGCAGTGTCCTATTTTATATTGTTACTTACAACATACAGAAGTTCTATAAAAGCAGAAAAAATGTCGAAGGCACTTGCCTGGTAGTAGCTGGTTGAAGGCAACACCTCTGATAGTATGAGAGGTGCGAGCCTCGAATAGCACCTCGCCTCAGTGGCTTGGCCGCTGAGGCAGGCACCTTTGACTAATCCTCAACATAAAAAAGAGGGGGAAAGGGATTAAATACAGCAAATTTGTCCAATCTTTTCAAACTCATATATAGAGAATCTCTTAAATCAACCAATAGTAGAACTCAAAAGAAGCAATAAGCATAACCTTATACCATACAAGATGGACGGATAATGCTTTAACAAAATTGTAAATACATTAAAAGACCACAAAGTTTATATTATCCATTTTTAACTGCCAAAGGCTTTCAAATGTATGCAAACAAATAACTAGATCAGGCAACATTCCCATCAATTGTAGTTCCTATGATAGTGGAACTGTGATTGTAGTTCCTATGATAGCGGGACTGTGGTTCTTCCTTATTTTATGTTAATCTGTTAAGTTTTCCTGCTTTCGCACAACATTAGTTTCATTATTTTGGGTTAGTTAGTACATGGGACACAAGAAACCAAAATAAATGACATCATAAAAGCTGAGACTTGTTTAAACACTTTTCAGTACTCCAATTTTTTTTTTTTATTTACTACAAACTTCAAAAACAAGGCATAAAAACTTTAATATTTTACACATTTTATTTTTGCAAGATATATATATATTTTTTAAAAAAGTTCCTCTGAATTCGGCCTTTTGTTTCCCCCTTAAAATGCCATCATCTATCTCCTCAATCCGCTGAAGCTCAACTTTTTATTGTACATGGCACAAAATATTAGACACAACCTTGTTTTATTTTTATGTTTCTGGTAAAACAATTCTTATTAGGAAGAAAATCAGAATGCATCCAAAATATTTGTGAGGGAAATTTCTAGCTGAACATCATGGAAAGGCCATAAAAACTCATGCAATCCTATCCCTCACATAAAAGCTTTATTAATCACCCTTCTACTTATTGTCAACCAGCAGACCATCAAATCAGCTGCAAGCAATGAAGCACCAATACCAGCACATGAATGAGACACACTGACATATCTTGCATTTAAATGCACATTTAACTGTCATGTTGTATCTAATAGCAGTGTTCACTATGTGTCGCCAAAAGTCTCATGCATCTCAATCCCTTCTAGCACAGCCCTTCTTTAACCATATTCTTCCATCAACACCCTTTTTAACAATGAAAGACCCTAAAGCGTGACATATTAAATAAATAAATAAATAACTAAACCTTTACATGGCAACTAGAAGAAGCATATAATATGATATGCCATACCAGCTATAAGAGAATAGCTTGTTCTTTGTTCCACTTTAAACACAATGGCCTTTTGTGTGAAGGGTGAATTACAGATAACACAACAAAACAACTCATCAAACTCACTGCAACGACCTACGATTTTGAGATGCATTGACTCTAGACATTAAATAGCATAAAACAAGAGCAACAAGACAGAACTTTAAATCATTAAGTGGAGACCAATGAATTTCAATTACGTGCATGTTGGTTTGCGTAGACCAGCAGGCTCTCAAGGCTTAAGCCCAAGCTTGTTAGCAGCGTCTAGAGTATGCAGTTTCATCCAAGGCAAATAAAATATTTTACGCACAAACGAAAGATCACCATACACATAATTATAGAAATATAGAAGGGCAAGCACAAAAGGACAAAAAGATCAATAAATAGTCTTACGGAGCCATCCAACGATATGTTCCCGTCTCAGGTGTCATTCCTTCGGTTTGCACCTCAATCCGAGCAACTCCAAAGTCTGCAATTTTAATTGATTTGTCACCAAAAATTAAAAGATTGTCAGACTTGAGGTCCCTGTGGATCAATTGAAGACCATGAACATATGCCATCCCCCTGGCAACATCCAAAGCTTGTTTAACAGCTAATTTAAGGGGAACTGATCGATTTTGGCGCTTCATTAAAAACTGTCTAACTGAACCACCTTTAGCATATTCCGTTACAATGCACCAAACCATTGGCTTACGGCATGCACCAATAAAGCGCACTATATTAGGATGCTTTAGTGTAGCCAGCATCATGACCTCCTGCTGAAACTGTTGTTCCATCACCTGGGCCTTTGCTTGATCATTTTCAGGCCTCTCCAATATTTTGATCGCAACATCTTCATTATTGTAAGTCCCGCGGTATAGTTTCCCGAAAGCTCCTTGTGCAAAAGCCTCACCCATATTGAGCTTTCTCAAATCAATTGTCCACTCATCAAAATTGTCAAGGCCCTCAGTTGGGGAGCTGCTGTCCATTAGGGCTTGAGCCAAAGCATCATCACTCAGGGCATGTGTGACTCTTCCTCTACGATTCACACTATGGGCAACAGAGTAGTTATCATTGGCACGCCTTCGTAACCCTTGGTGGTTTAAAATGCGAGTATGAGAATCATTGGACCCAACACTGCTATTATCAATAGACATTGCAACAGATCCCCCACCATTGCTTGTTTGCATGCTTCCAATGCTGTCAACTGACATATTTGTACCATCTCCCAGCTTGTGGTAAAAGCCTTGAGAAAAATCATAATAACTATTATTATGCTTGTTTAGGTCTATTATACCAGGAAATTTTGCACCGCCTTCCAACATTTTTACCCCAGAAAAGCAAAGTTTTTGAGTATTGCTATTTCTTCAGCATCACAAATTGCAAAATAAACCACCTGAGCAAAACCCAAAAACCAAGACATGGGAAGGTAAGTTTTGAGAGCTTAAAATTCAATGCTTCAATTAACATGAGAAATGTAACCGCATGTTTCCATTAGACTTCTATTGAGCACACAGCCAAACAAAATCACCGAACTTTTTACACCTTCGAAATAATTTCCTGGATAATATTAAAAAGAGAAAAAATATCGCCGAATTCCAAAACATAGACTTCATCAAAATTCAAGAAAGGCGATTTGACCAATTAGGCTGACTTATCACAACTATCGACATTTTACTAAGACTGGAAATGATTCGCACATAAGCAAGAAAGACAAGGAAGGAAAACATTACAGAAGCCAAACATAACGATCTACAGCAAAACAATACAAGTGAGCAACCTTCAACGCAAATTGAAGACAGGACCAGCTTATGCAAACTAAAGCATGAGTATCTCAGAGATAATCAAATTTCCCAGAGAAAAAAAGCAACCAGCAAAAAGATGAAAATTTGAGCAAAACCACGGATTGAAGGTCATAAGCTCCAATACCCGAATTCCTCCTGCTAAATCAACTCCCCACATGAACGAACTTTCCAGTGATCTTATACGGAAAAGAAAAAAAAGACACGAAATACAGATACCATTGTGAACCCTAAATTTCATAATTACAGAATCAAAAGCTTAAAGAGGCGCGGCGTGACGTACCTTGAGAGGGCTTAACTACGCGAGCTCCGAGGGGAAAGTCATGAAAAAGCGGAGACAAGATCGAAAAGGGAAAGAATGAAATCGAAATGCGGAAGATTGCGCCCCCTGTAGTGTGTACGAAACGAAACGAAGCAAAGACCAAAGACCGAAGGAGGACTTTCTTTTTAACTTTTTTATTGCTGTGCTCTCAGACTCTTCCCCTTTTGCTTCTCTCTAGCTAGCGTTCCTGGTCCTGCCAGCAACGTGCTTGCTACACGTTTTTCGCTCATATCTTCTATTTTATGACTTGGGTTTTATTTACCCCTTGCCCGCTCCAGGGCGCTAAATGTGGGAGTGTGAGAATTTATTTCTTCCCCACCTTTTTATGAGGTACAACTAACCAAAATGTATAGTTGGCCGCAAAGAAATAACCGAATTACATAGATAAAAAATTAGTTAAGATTAATTAAAAATAATAAATGAGTAAAAAAAATGCAAGTTATTTTTTAAAAATATCTTTATTTATGAAAAAATTAGGTGAGAGAAAAAATGAGTGAAAAATTAGATGACAGAGAGTGAATGAGAATTAATTAAAAGTAAAAATGAAAAAATGCATTAAATATATAGATATTTTTAGTAGATTATAAAAAGAAATATACTTATTCAAACAATTAGAGCTTATATGATGGAACATAGGAAGTATTTTATTTTATCTCTGAAATTTGATAATTTTTTAAAATTATTTTTACGAATTATATTTAATAAAAAGGACTTTATACGATGTAATTTTTATTACAAGTGTTTATCAAAATCAACATGCATTTCTTTGTATAAATAGCTAACTTAGATTAAAAAAAATTATCGATTTTACTGTATTGAATTAGAACTGCATAATCTCAAATTTTGTAAATTAAATCAATCAGCATGATGAGAATACCACCCCATTAAATTTTCAGATATGGAGATAATCTACCAAAAATGACATGTATTATCGAGAATCTGTCCATTAATTTGTAGAATATTCCGTTTACCAAGTCAAATGGCATATGCCATTTTACAATATTTTTCAGACGGCAACAGAAAAAAAATATATTTGTCATAACCAGATGTATCATAAGATTTTCTATATTTTTAAACAGCAAAAGAAACTATAATATTTGTAATAACTATGGTGCGATCTTCCTGCCTAAGAGAATATTACAGGGTTTTACCTAACACATGCAAATTCAAAATAATCAATCATCATCAATCAACTAACTATCAACCAAATATATTCTTAAAAACTTCTAATATCCGGTTCATTTAAAAACAGGTCGGGTATAACATTATGACATCCAAATATATTCAATTAATGAGATTTGAATAATATTTTGATTGGGATTTGGATATATTGAATTAAATGAGGAGTATCATTATTAAATGTGACTCTAATTAGAGGTTTAAATAAAGAAATTAATAATTAATTTTGAATTTGAATAATATCTTAATTAAAATTTGAATATATTGAATTAAATATAAAGTATCATAATTAAATAGTATGATAATTGGGGGCTTAAATGAAGAAATGAATAATTAATTTTAAATTTTCATATGTTTCTTCTAATTTTTGAATCTCTAATTCAAATCTCACTTGAATGAATAAAAAAATCACACTTCTATAAGAAGTGAATCTTAAGCCACCTTAGATAATACAATTTATTTGAATTTAAAATTTAATCAAATATTCTCATTCGTACATCGCACGGAGAGAAATTTCTAGTTTTATATAAAAATCGTAAAAGTATAAATATCTCCATGAAGTTTTGTTAAAATTATAGAGCCAAACATTTATTTTGAGGGGTGTTTGGGTACCCTAATAATCACTTTTCAGAAGCACTTTTCTGCAAATCGAGACAAACTCTTTCACATATTTACCTCGTATACTGTAAAAGCACTTCTAAAACCATAGTTTTGATCTTACCCAAACACCCCCTTAATAGCACAAAGATTTTGTTTAAATATTAAAATGCTTTCTTTTATTAATTGAAAGGCAAAAGCATATTTTTAAATATGGTCCATTGATTTATAAATGATCTTTTTATTCATTTAATTCTTGTAATAACTTTATCTCAAATATTCTTTTGTAAAACTAAACTTAATGTATTAATAGAAAGAACTGAGGATAGCTTATCATTATTTAAAATCTAAACGCCAATTTATTCTATTAACAATGTTAAGATTGCAGTAAAAATACTTTATAAAATTAAGAGATTAAAGTAAAAACTTGTAAAAATTAAAATCTATCAATGCAGCCTTGCGTGATCAAAGTAAATAATTGTTCTTCAACAAAAGTAAAATGATTCAATAGAAAGGCCAGCCAATCACATTTGATCAAAATTATTTTGAAAAATTAAAATTAATAACTCTTCCTTATAATATAATTAGCTACTCACTCTTTCCCTTTAAAAAAAAGGATATTAATTTTTTATCAACAACAATTGTTAACTTCATAAAATATTAATTGCAATCTCCATTCCAGTAAACTCCTCTTCTCCTCCTGTGGTTAAAGAAACTTCACCCAGTGAACACTACATTTATCATCTGTGTGGAAGGTTTCCCTACTCTACTTTCATTCATGCTCGTGTCTGTAGGGGGCTGCTTGATACGAGGAAAATAGAGAGGAGGGAAAAGAAAAAAAAATTTAACGAATTTTATTTACAAAATTGGAGAAGTGAGATTATAAAATTTTAATAAAGAAAGTATATAAAATAAAAGAATGAGTAAAATTAATTAAAAACTTTTAACTCCTCTTATTCAATTTTTTTTAAATGAAACTCATTAAAATTTTTCATTCCTTTCTTATGTTCCCCTCGTATCAAGCCGAATCACGGAAAAACCCAGGTCCTCTCTCACTAACTTTCTCTCTCTAAAACACTTTCTCAGTATAGGAACCTCTGGATTTAATCCTCAAACCTCATCACAAATTACAAAATATAAGTAACTTTTTTGCCCCGGTGCAAAAGGATTGCTTCAAATAATTGTTACTCCCTCCCTTCTTTATTGTTTAAAAAAATAACTACTAGAATCACAGTTCAAACTGTTAGTTAAATTTAGTTTTAAAAAAATGTGTAAATTCTATACATTTTTTAATTATATCTTTATTTATTAAAAAAAAACACATAAGAGATAATAAGTAAAAATTTATTGCAAGGAGATAATAAGTGACATATAATTGATGGGCTTAAAACTTAAAAGACCCGTTTAAAATTTGAAACAAAAAATTTTATTTATTATAGTTAGGAATACCACTAAAAAAAAATAGTGTATCTTATAATAAGAGACAACCGAGTAACATGCAGCAATATAAATGGGTTGGGCTGGTATTGGATGGAGTATGTTTTAGGCTGAACAAATTGATATACTTTGAGGAATATTGGGCCTATGGAAGCAAATATGAGCATATCAGTTGTGAATTGCTTTTTCAATGGTTATCTTTTACCAAATGAGAGTTGGTTTTAAGGGAAAAACTAATCCCTCACAAGTCACAAGATAGCAAATTAAAGTTTAAATTTTCATTAAGAAAAATACCTACACAGTGTTTCAAATACAATTGCCTCTAATATGAGGATACATGCAGGTAGTGAAAAAATGGTTTTTTTTTTTTTTTACAGGAAGAGTATAATCCCTTACAACATGACGAACTAGGTTCAAATCCCTATTAAGAGGTATACATATTTAATACTCAGCAGTGTCTTGAATAGAATTGTCTCCGATTAAAGGATATTTATGTGTAGGGTAAAAAAAAAAATTGGACCCTACATAAATCAAAGGTTGTGGGAGAAGTTTATGACATACGCCAGTTTTTTGAGTCACACAGTGGTCCAGAGTGAGCTGAATTCATGATGGAGGGACGAGCCTTCGTGAACACGACGCAGTTACAAAAAGACTTTTTATTCTGGTTTTGGGGGGGAAAAAAAAGACACTAAACTTTCCACACTAGTGAAGATGCCTAAAAAATAATTTATTTCGTTAAAAAGCCCATTTTCTAATGACTTGTAAGAAAATGAATGAGGATGTAATTATTAGTGCCATGATAACACTAATACTCCTCATTATTTTTTCTACCTTTACACACTTTATTTTGGGCTTTTAGCACTTTATTTGAGTTAATTTGGATTTAATTGTTTGTTTTTGTGTTCGAGGGCAATATGAAAATTTTACTACTTAATTCTCACTTCCACTGAATCTACATTCTCAATAATGTTAGTTCCATTATTTTTATACGTCGATAACATTGGAGCATTGAAGAACTTCTTGTATCAATTGGTCACAAGCTAGCACATCGTGCCATTTTGGAGAAGTCCTTAGGAATAGAGATCAATCTAAGGGCAGAAAATGCAAGGGATGCAGCATGAGGGGGCATTAGGACAACCGAGATTTCTATGATGTTATTTTCGTTTTATCTTATTCAATAGGTTAACAATAGCTAGCATGATAATTTCTCTTGGACTAGTTCAATTAGTTTGCACATTTCTCACATTCATTCCCTCCCTTTTAATTTTCCATTTGGTCATTTTAAATTCCTCCCTTCCTCTCATAATTGCCGCCACCTCATCTAGATTTTACTCGCTTAACTTTTATTCTCTTGAACTCCACTAGAGCCTTACCACTCATGAGGGAACCAAGGGACACCATCAAATTCTCATCATTGATCTAAGCCTTGGAATATCAACCCCAAGTCACCCGCTTCCCTCTCATTCATCACACTTCTCTCTCCTCTTGGCCAAGAAGATCCGTCCAACATTCACTAAATCAATTCCATTTTCAAGCCACAATCTCATCATTCGCCTCGTTCTTCCATTACTCCATCCCTCATTCATCAAATTCACCTAGGTTTTGTGTTGTTGTCAAGCAATCCGGGGCAATTTTCTAGATCATCACGGGTTCATCTTCCCCTTCAAGTTTCATTCGTGGTGGAGCATTTTGGCTTAGATTGCCTGCAAGGATTCATAGTAGTGTTTTAGGGCCACAACTGCACTAATCTGGGACCGCCTCTTCAGAAAGGGATCACCTCACTTCTTCCATGGCACGCCTAAGATTCAGAATAGCGGCAAAGATTGGCATAGGACTACTTTTTCCTCATCAAACATAGCCAGAACCCATTATTCATTTTAATTTAAAACCTGGCCACATGCTGCTTGACCATAACTGTGTCTGAGGGGATTGGCCAGGCTTGCCCCATCTCCGGTTGCAGATAGTGTAACTGTCACATGAAACAACTGCCCGAACTCTCCGTTACAATGACCCAGAGAACCGGCAAACAGGAACGCCAGGAATTTAATCTGATATATGCATCGGGGTCATGATTCTGCAACTAGTAACAGCCAAGCCACCAATGAGTTGGATTCCATGTTGCCTGTGTAATCAAGAAACGCTCGACCCAGCAGTTAGGGACTGACCAGTAGATGCACAGCATTTTGCAAAGCTTGCTCTGCAATGTGCAGAAATGAGAAGAGATAGGCCACACCCTGGCAAAGCAGTATTATCTCAGAACAATTAACTCACCATTTGCAGTGCCTTTCGTGATGTTTGGACGCAGAACGGGTTTCATGATCAGAATCGCAGTCATATCCTGAAATTCCACTTTTCAATTCAGTCGCTGAACTCTCACTATCACATATGAATTCAATTAGAGTCCACGAACATGATCCTCACACCGTTCAACTTACTGTCCTGCTGTACTGACCAAATTTGCATATAAGAAAACTGCTCATCCATAATATATTTAGTCTGAGGTGGATATAATTGTAGAGCAGGGTAGCTTATATACCTCTTCATACGTATACAAAGCTCCCCAAAAACAGTTTAGTTATTTGATGGTCAAATGATATTCAGGCTGAAGCTACCACCTTCTCCCAGACTTCAAATTAAACAAGGCACTGGCTCTCATGAATTAGTTGGCCAGTCTTCATACGAGATTTAATTGCAGAAGAGCTAAATGCCACAAATTTATCACACTCTCTTTTAATGACGAAGTATGAAGTTGGCTAAATTGTCAAAATGTAAACCCAGGCTTACGGTCATTCTAATTTTGCCTTCTCTATTCAGCAGCCGTGCCAACAAAATTAGCAATGAATCAGCGTGGCTCAATCAATCAGAATTTTCAAAATAATCACTAAAATAATAAATTGGTAGTCAAAATTTAACTTCAGAATTTTCATCAATTACAAACTGAGACTACAGACTGCAATAAGCCGCATCTACAACTCGATGACTCAGTTCACAGTAATTTCTGTGTGTCTGCATCCCCAAGGCCAAGCCTTCTGTAGCTAGACTTGAATGTGATTCATTCCATCGCTAAGTAAACTTGATGTATTAAAGATTTCCGGCCATTCTAGACTCAATGATCAAAATTTCCTTTCTCTCTGATTTAATCTATTCCTTTAACATTGGTGACTGTATGCAAAGTGCACAACAAATATACAAGCGAAAGCAAAGAAAAGGAATTCAACGCACCCAGAATGGAGACAGAAAACTTCTGCCAGAACATCTGATTTGTGAAGAATGCAGTGATACATGGGTGGATGAACGACAGATTTACAGCATAGCCTGCAGGGAAACAAATCACAGATAGAGAGAGTTTGCAAACATAATACCTCGGCGAAGGCTTTCACTTGCTGCTGCAAAAGTTCTTTTCCAAGTCAACCTCCCCCACTGCCTCTCAGCAGCAAGTTTTACTATCCACTTGGCCAGTTACTTTGGCAAAGCTTTAGCTACTAAGATTTGTTTGGTAGCTCATTCCAACCAAAATGTCAACCCTTGGCCAGTTACTTTGGCAAAGCTTGAGCTACTAAGATTTGTTTGGTAGCTCAATCCAACCAAAATGTCATGTAGTTATAAACGCCAACTGAAATTCAACTTCCAATAATTATGAAATTTCTCCCAGCAGTCATTAAATCGAGCTCCTTTGCTTTTTTTTCTTTTTAACCACCTATAATCTCAAGGAGGAGTTTACAACAGATGTTGAAGTTTCTATATGTAATATTGAGAAGAATGAAACGCAGGACCATCAAGCAAACGCTCAATAGAGACAGATTATTTGCACTGTAGCTAAAACAAAAATCAAATTACCAATCACAAATGAAGCCACGATCTCAAGTTCCATAGTTATCTTCTTCAAAAAATTGAATGCTAATAAGTAAGAACATAATACATCAAGATTATAATAGTCATTTGATCCTAAGCCATGCATGCAACAAATTCTTACTAGGTAACAGCAAGTATCACCAAACAGAAGAAACAGGCCAGAGGGATGAGAACTGATTAGCCAACTGCATAAAATACTGGCAGAGATACGAAAGCAATCCCATGGATCACTAGGGATCTCTAACAGCCAATGCAGATACAGTTACAGTAATAGATATTGGATAATAATACTTGCGAATAGCCGAATACCATTCCCAGAAGTAATATCTAGCTCTAATGATCAACAAATCAACATTCAGCTCTAGGATTTTAAAGTTCTCCTTCATACTGAATGGAGTAAGTTTGAATATATCAGCTATCCACAAGCACACAAGACTTGAATTATCTGATTACATGTCCAGTTAGTTTTTACCTTGTGATCTCAAGAAACTCTTCAGAAGACAGAACAAAAGTGCAGCCAAGTAAGTTCAGAAAGTTCATAGTTGCAAATTGCTTAGAAAAGCATTAATATATAAAATTGCAAAAAGGTTTCATATCAACAACCCAAGTTTTAAGGTAAAAACTCCAAGACAATCTGACGAATGGAAAATATATGAGTATCAAAATACATAAAGTGTACAAAACCAATACTTCACATATTTCACACATGCATGGAATCAAAATCCAAGTCCAAAAAGCATAAAAACATCAAATATGAGCAGACCATACCTGATTCAAAAATTCATCAAGCCTTCTAGCACTCCTAATGATACTCCCCTCAAAGATATCAGTCATTTGTATAACATCAGCAAAACTTGCTCCCTGGGAGAAGAATTTTAAAAGGATAGACATACATCAACTTACAAAACAAGCGTACAAATCATTATCCCTTTTCTCCCACATAAAGGAGTATGTACACTTGCCAGAAATCTTGATCCAGCTCAGATGTGATATACTATACATCAAGTCCAGGATTAATATTTAGAATCTATTAGTATCATGGCTAATACAGTCAAGTCCGTAGCATAGATAGACACTACAGACACTGCTAGGGTATTAAACCAAGGATATCAGATCAAAGTTTCAAATCAACATAGCAAAAATCAAGTGTTGTGATTTATGGACGCTCATGTCAATATTCAATGACGGTAATCTGATAATAGCATACAACAGCAAGAACAACATCAAGTGTTGTGACAGTAGTGACAATTTATACAGCAACGTGATCTTAATAAAAAATCAAACAAAGGACTTACAATTAAGAAGTAGAAAAGAATATCAATCCAAAATTTAGGGAAAACTAACCTTTGACCAAGAGTATATGACATCCATCAAGTAAGGCCTCACTGTGGACTCCACATACTCGTCCACATTTATATCCAATTTGCATTCATGTTGTATCTGTCACCAGAATGCAAACGTATTCATCACTGCTGAATTTAGTGAAATCAGCTAAGCATTTGACACTTAGCTTCAACTTTATTCAAGGGGTCTAATCAGTACATATAGAGCCCTAATTAAGGTAAATTAAAGAAAAAAATAAAATATATGAAAAGATAAAATTAGATATTATCTAATCTAACCTATCCCAGAGATTAAAAAAAAACTAATTAACATAACATGAAAGCAACACTAAATGAAAGCAAAATTAATAAGTGAGCTCAACTAGGTGGGCTTGGCCCTGCATCGTTCAACAATCCCATAATGCACACTCAAGAAATATCAAAAGTTTAATTATAAAACACCTCTGCTATTCTTCTTGCGCTGTCTTGAAGCTGCTGTAGGGGTCTAGCAAGCTCTGTCCTCAATTGTATCTGCTCATTTGATTTATCTCCCGGAATAAAACAACTTGCAAGGGCAGCAACTTGATGATGGTCAAGATCATTAAATGTACCTAATTGGATAGGGGAAACGATGGCTTCAGATCATGCAACATAATATCATGCAGACTTACTATGGAAAAATATGTGTCAATTACCATTAAACATTAATTCAGTGACAAGAAGCTCATCGCCTGTGTCAACCAAGCAGGCTGCCCGTCCCTTCAACTGAACTACACCATCGGCATCAATATGACCAAGCTTCTTTAAAACTCGAGAGCGGTTCTTGAGCTCCTCACGAAATTTTTGCAGCTGAAAGGTTAATGGAATTATAAATACATGCATAAGTAGGAATAGAAGAGTAAGATTATGTAAGAGACATAATAATTTCGTGCTTAAAATTTGAGACATTTGTCACATTGTAGCTTTTTCATTTAGGTTACTTTTGCCACGAGTTTGAAACCCCATTAATATTCATGAGGACGGGGGAGGTGAAATGATATAATGGCTTCCACAATGATGTCTTTAGTATCTTGACCCCCGTCCATTGATAACATAAGACCCAGCTGGATAATTGAGTCACAATATACCAAATAGAGAAGCTTCAACAAATCGAATACCTGGGAATCACGCATTTTTGTCTTGAGTTGCTGAATTTCATGATTCACCTCTGCTTTCCTCTGAAAGCATTTAATTTGATCCACATCTTGATGCTACAATGTACTAAAATGATTAGAGAAGCTCTCACCAAGTATTATAAGCATGAGATTCAAAACTAAGAGAATAGGAAACATATGGATATTTTTTTCACAAACCTTATGCAAAGGATGAGCATATAACTTTTTCTCAAGTTCCTCTATTTGATTGACAAGATCAACAATTTCTGGATCTCGTATGTCCATGTCCTGCATGCAAAATTCAGAATAGGATTTTCATTAACTACAAAAAAGGGCCACTACAAGATTCTTATAGGAGTGGGATAGCTTGTGAGATCTTTGCCTCTCTATCACAATAAAAAAGAAAATAAATCAGAAAATATTACAAAAATAGAAACTTAAATATAAATTCCTGAATCTTTGTAACAGAAACAGGAATCAAAATAGAAGGAGAAAAAGAAGGATCTGACATCAAATATAAAATTTGGGCCAAGATATTGGACGCATGATAGCCCATATACTAGGCCACACCACACAGACAAACATCACTTTAGACTCCATATAACATAATCTGCAAGTAATGTTGTGATTCTGTGTCCTAAAATATTATGGGTTGAAAGCAAACTGGGAAAATGAAGCAATAATGAGAAATTGAAAGGGTTTAAAAAAAAAATACAGGAAAAACGTAAAAGGTTAGCTATCATATTCAAATATCAGGACACAACTACGGAGAAGCAAACTTAAGGAAGACAGCAAAAAGAGATGGAAAAGCTGTAACATCTGTATTAAACCTGAATCATTCATTAGATAACAAACATTAGAAGCTCTATCTTTCAGCATGTAAAAGCACAATGACTCAGGTAATTTGTTCTCGTTTTTACACAACCAATAAAAGTAATGTTCAAATAGTATTTCCTGTATTGGAAATGCAGAGTTTTCTCCACAAAAATGCTCATTAGGTGTTAGAGAGGTGCAAAAAGCATCTGACAAAATATCACATGCTTAGGTTTAAATTTTCATGCTAGAATTATGATAAAAATTTGTTCATGAGCCTTCACTTGACAGATTAACCTTTTGAAATGAAATAGACCTAGTGTGGTGCCAAAGTCTCTTTATCAAGTCTAAGTTTGATCCTAACTTGTTCTCCATTTTCTCAATAAAAATTTTCATCATAGAGATCATACTACAAACTATTCACAAATTTTCACTTAAGAGCTAATTTTTATAAGTTGACATGATGCTAGCATTCCTTTCTAATAAGAAAACAATTAGCGATTAAGTTATACTTGACGGCGCATCAAACCTGAAAGAAATGTTAAAGCAAATAGCAAAATGTGAATTTTATTTCATCACTGCAGTAATTTTATATTAACATAAAATAAAAAAGTTAACTACATACTTACAATTTTCATTTAAATAATATTTACCTTCAAATGAGAAAGTTGCAATTTTTTTCATTAGAAATATATAATTTAAATGTCTATGTCAATTTCTCATTTAAAATATTTTACTTTATCTTTTTCAATTTTAAAAAGAAAAAAATCTCAAACAGTTGGGGAATGATGACAAGTCACGAGGCATTCTGAAGAAGGCACTGGAGATATTCAAGAGGGGACAAGATGCTGATGTCTTGGGGATATAAGGGATATAATAGCAAGAGCAAAACGACAAAACGAAAAGGAGGGGGTAGAGAATAGAGGGCAAACGGAGACGCCAATAAAGACACTCAATAAATTTCTGGTTAACAGAAAGGTGCCAGTCAAGGAAGTGCCATCCAGACAGCCACGTAGCATTCAGAAGCATCAGTACTGTAGCTGATGCTTTCATCAGCAAAAGATCCAACACAAGTGGCATTTTCCACAAAAGTTCTGATATTTGAACTAAATTTTCCAATGGATAAAGGAAAAATAAGCCAGCGTGGAAAACAAACATAAACCTTGTAATGTGTTTAAAAACTAATATTATTCAGCTCAATCAACCCATGCATGTAATCGTAAACCCCACATTATGATGTCAAAATCTCTCACTGCCCAACTCACAATGCACTTGAGAGATGAACCAGCAAATTATGATAAATAAATCTGAAAAAGTCTTACTTTCACAGGGTTAAGCTTTGGAAGACCTTGAGGAAAACGATTCCCCAGCTCCTGTACAGCAAGCAGTATACTTTGTCTTGCTTCCAAGGGTCGTAGATCAGGAGGTATAGAAATCCTCAATTTACTAAGGGCAGAAATTAAGGGTAATTGAACAGGGACCTAACACAAAAGGATGTGATCAAGGGTAAGTAACAAAAATTTCCACATAGATGGAGTTACAAAAAGAAACATAGAAATGTAACGTTACCATATCAAATGCCAACTCACCACATGCATTTCGCCTTTCTCCCCAGGACAGGGTTGACAAGGTTTTGGCCGTGAACTATTATCAGTTGAACCAGGCGAGCAATGTAGTAAAGTATCGACTATATAACCACCACCAGAAGGTTTCTTAACAACATTAACCACAACCCCCCAGCCCCAATCAGTTCCTCCTTCTCTTATTTTGACCTGTTAGCATCAAGTTACTGAGTATACTGCTAGAGAATGATAAGAAAAAGATATAGATCATCCTAAGTGAAAAATTTGTCTTGAAAACGGACTGAAATTTGCAGGATTAGTAGACAGACAATATGCTAAATGAGTTTTCCTCGCACGTTCACATATGTAAAGCATTAATTATTGGAAATCAATATTGTAGAAATCATGGCTGACAATTCAAATAATCCAATTTACGATGATCAACAGCAATGACAACACATTTCAGAAGTTGGCGCCAAAAACCACCATTATTGCAGCGGAGAATCAAATTTACAAGTCTTGTAGTGATCTTTTTTTTTTTTTTTGGGGAAGGTGAGCAGCTAATATTCATTCTCAAAAATCAAAGATAGCTTACAACTAAAGAAGGGGCATTCCCCTTTTTATATACCAAAGCAAGGGAAGGCATCAAGATAATTTGAACCTAAGCTCTATAGCTTTAAGACCCATTTGGAATAGCTTATAAATAACTTTTTAATCGTAATTTATGGAACACAGGGTAAGTACGTGAGAAAAGTTTTGTTTCGGTTTACATGAAACCTGCTTATAAGTGCTTTTAAATGCCATCCCAAACAAGCCCTGCCTATTTTTGCTTACTAGCAAGTGTTCCCATCTAATCTTCAGTTGATTAATTACAATAAAACAAAGACCATCACAACTGGAATTTTCATACTTAAAGATAACAACATACCTAGATTGCCATATATTATGAGATATTGTACAAAACATAGCAGGAAGATCACCCATTTCTTGTGCATTAATTGTGTAAACGCATGCTACCATGTCATAATGCTCTAAGAACCAATGTCAAAATCCACTCATTGCATCATACCCTTTCAAGATATTAGATGAGATGCAACATTCAAAGGAAAGATGGTCGAAAGTTTCAGGAATATCATTGCAAAGAGTACATAAAACATTTTGCACTAGATTTATTCTGATCATTCTGTCTTTGATACGCGATTTGCCATGGAAAGCAGGCCAAGCAATAAAAGACATTCTTGGGAGATAGTATCCATTCCAAACAATGCAAGACCAATGAACAAAAGGATAGAATAGGTTGTATAAAAGCGGATTGCTGTGCCCTAATTATCACTTACCAATCGACCTGGAAGAAGAAAATAAAGTATTCTTTCAGGCCTTATTATTTGTGACATCATCTTCCTCTCAAGTTGTGCTATTTCCAGCTTAAGTTTATGATATTCTGCCACTTCAGCCTACATATATTATAAACTTATAACACATTAGCATGGTAATCCAACGCAAAACACACAACAGACAACAAAATTGAGGGCCCTGCAACAAAGATTACCTCCCCTGACGCATCAAGCAAGGCTGCTTCCTCCTCCAGCTTTGAAACCCTTTTCCCTATATCAGGTAAGGCCTGAACCAGAATGACGAGTTTGTAAGTTATGAATAACCATGTAACAAACTTTTATCAGACAATTAGATCAGAATGGTTCAATGGGAAACCTTTTCATACTGAAACTGATGAAATGAATTCCTTATTACGTGTTCAGCAGTGAACTGTCCCTCTGCACGGCTCATCAAATTTAAAATTGAGTAATAGCTTAGCCTGAATGTACTGACTAACGGAGCAGGTTTGCCCAAAACCATGTCCTTGAGGGTATTCATTTCCATCTGTGCAAAATAGTGACATCAATATCAATATTGAGTTAAGGAAATACCACTTAGTTTTCAAAGACCCTCCAAAATCAAACAAAAGACTTATTTCGTCTCAGAAATTAAAAGAATGAGATCCAGAAAGAAAACTAAATAAATAATAAGCTTATCTCAAGCCCAACCAAATGAGGAAAGGTCACTCAAATAAAAATTATGTAAACCTTCAGAATAAAGATTTCTTCATAAAAGGTTATTTTAAGCGTAGCTTTTAAATAAATATGCAGGGAAAATGAGTGTGTGTGTGTGTGAGTGAGTGAGTGAGTGAGTGTGTGTGTGAGGGAGAGGGGGAGACGGAGTAACAACAATGCCCCCAACCCCCACTTAATGGAGTCCCTACGTGACTTTTATAGTGACCATGGCAACATCAACCACGACTAAATATTATGTTCCACTTCAAAGTAAATAACATGTCCAAAGAGCTATCAAAGTGTTTATTTTTTCAAGCTGGGGTGCAGTGATGCAGTTGAAAACTGATAAGAAAAGATTTTAAGCAGTAGTGTGTTGTAAATACATGATACACACACATGTAATTATGTATTTAAGTTTTGATAGGAAAGTCATGGTGGAAATAAGAAAACTTAACTTCTGAAATACGAAAATTAATAAAAATTTAAAAATTAGTTTCATTATTTTGTTTGCATTCAAACCTCTCGCTGGAGTTATCTGTTTTGAAGATGAGGATTTTTTTTTTTTAAATGCACTTTAAAAATGAATATGAAATCAACATTTCCTGATATCCTGGCCAGCAACTGATAATATTATAAAATTAAAGATAAGGTTAGCCTAGGTAATTTTCAAAATCATGCGATTAAGAATAAAGGAAAAGCAAGTTCCCCAAAAATAACTAATTCAAACAGAAACAAGGGTAAATCATCGCGCACAAAAGGGTTTTGCATAGCAGTAGACCCACCTGCTCATCAACCATAATGATGCAAATTCCACGTTCATCTTTGCCACGACGACCAGCCCTTCCACTCATCTAGAAGTAGCAATATTTCAATAATGATGAGCTGCAGTGGCAGATAGATTGAATGAATAAGCACTCACCTGGATATATTCACCAGATCCAATATAACGGTGGCTATCACCATCCCACTTCTTAACAGCTGTGAACACAACAGTTTTTGCAGGCATGTTCAAGCCCATTGCAAACTGGAAAATAATAACAATACCTTAGAAAACCACTCCAAAAGGAATATAAAATAACCAGGAAGAAAAATGAAAACTGGACATAATCTTACAGTCTCAGTGGCAAAGAGAGCCTTCACAAGGCCTTCCTGGAAAAGTAGCTCAACCAATTCTTTAACAACAGGAAGAAGGCCAGAATGATGAACAGCAACTCCTCGCTGAAGAAGTGGCAACATCAATTCAATAGCAGGTAAACTCCTGTCTTCTTCATTCAAACAGAGTACTGCATTACGGAAAACATGTTCGACTGTATCCTTTTCCTCTTGGGTATTGAAATCTAGCTTGGACATAGACATGGCATGTTGCTCACATTCTCTTCGACTGAAGCTGAAGATGATAACAGGTTGGAATTTTCGTTCCATGATCATCTATAATGAAGAAGCATTCCAGTTCAAACAAAGGGTGAATAGGAGAAGTTAATGAATATAAAGCAATGTAGTTTAGTAGGGAAGGAACGGAAGTTAGGAATTCAACAATTAGTTATCAACGACCCATCTCTTAATTCACTTATTCAAGGTATAACTTTTTTCCATAAGTGTAAATTCCTTATCTTTAAGTAAATTACAAAGAAGACATAGCAGCTAGAACAAAAAAGATTCAGCTGCTAAAATAAATAGAATAAAATATCTGAATTTCAAACAAAACTACAGGATTATTCAAATACCAAAATGTATATAATCTCATTCTTAACATGAGCTCAATGCAGGGTAACAACTATGCCTAAAATGCCCATGTCATAATTATATACATGAATCAAGAGATGCATTAAAAGGTCACTTCTCATAATCTTGTTATCATAATAAGAATCTCCCAAAATGACTTGGTGTTGATTTTGACATGAGCCCAGTGTAGATGAACAACTGTTACACCCAAAATGGTCACTTAGAGAGCTTTGACACAGTAGTCAAGCTGACATCATGCAGCCCCATGGTCTCAAATTTGAGTTGTGGAAATTGCAAAACTGCTGAGTAAGTCTAAATACAATAGACCCAAAGTGGGTCCAACACTCCCTAGACCCTACGCATTCCTTTACCAAAAATGCCCACTTCACAGTTAAATAGATACACTAAAGAACTGCTAAGAAGTGAATCATTGTGGAGAACTTCCATGAGTGACATATGATTTTTGTAGTTTTCTAAATACACTTCCACACTAACAAAAAAAAAAAAAAATCTCATCTTATAAGTAACAAGGATTAGTGAAAATCACATTTTAGCATTTGCAATTTCCTACTCACACACCACTCTGTTAAGACCCCTGATAACACCACGGGAAAAAATGCAATACAATGGAAGGGCTGACCTTCACTATCTTGTATATATCGGAACCACCAGATGCAGACCCGCCTTTTGCAGTTTTCCCATTAGATTTTGCACTTCCCAGTTTCTGCTTAGAAAAGGTATCCTGCAATTTCACAAAATTATCTTCCCTGAATTGCTCATTCTCATCTACTACTAAATACAAGCCACTACCACCCATGGGGAACACGTAATGCTGCAAAGGAGTTGGTCGGAAATCAGTATAGACCACATGACAAGGCTGTTTGTGCAGGTTACATATCCATTCCGCAAACTCCGTGGCATTTGACATGGTTGCCGATAGAAAAACCATCTTGATAGCTGGGGGCAAAAATATTATGCTCTCTTCCCAAACAACCCCTCTTTCACGATCTCTCATGTAATGAATTTCATCAAATATAACCCATGCAACTTCCTTTAAAACCTCAGAACCCCTGTATAGCATTCCCCTAAGAATCTCTGTTGTCATTACTAGACAACTAGCATTAGGTGAAATAGTAACATCACCGGTCATCAACCCTACATCTTTGAACTCCTGACTAAGTTCTCTGTACTTCTGATTACTTAAAGCTTTGAGGGGCGAAGTATATAAAACCCGCTGCTTGTCCCTAAAAGCCATTGCAATAGCATACTCAGCAACAGCAGTTTTACCAGCAGAAGTATGTGCAGAGACCAAAACAGACTCGTTTCTTTCTAAACAGGCAACAGATACCTGCTGAAAAGGGTCGAGCGTGAAAGGATATTGTTTTGCCATCTCTCCGTTATACACAGGATTTGACAGAGTGCCATAAACTGATTCATCCTTGAATGAAACGTGCCCACTGGGAACAGCCACTTCATGCACGCATGTTCGCGCCAAATTGCGGCGTTTATTTGAGAGGGTCTGTTGAGTTGAAACCTCATTGAGTTGTGAATCCTCTGCTTTCCGTTTTCCAAGAGACGGAGAGTCACCCATTTTCTCAGTTCCCAAACTTAGTGGAGTTTCAGGTTATAACTGATTACAAAACTCTTGCCTAAACTATTCTGCCAAAGATTAACCACAACTATTGATAGTGTGAAACGATAAAGAGCAATGTAAGAAGCCACCAGCTACAGCGAGCAAGAAAGTCAATGAAACTTACGTAGCATCCATGGCAGAAAGCATAAGCTGGGATTTAGGACCATGATAAACCCTAATTTGATTTTGTTTGGAGCGAACACTCGCTATAGCCGCTTGCACCCGCACCTCCCTCCTTTTTCTTTTTCTTTTTTTTTCGGTGCCTTCCTCCTTTGGGACAAAGTTGGTCTGGTTTACTATTTGCTGCAATTTGCGTCTTCTTCCCCCTGGACGGCCCGGTTGGGGTTAAATAAGCCCAAACCTTTAAATGGGAAACCCAAATGGGCCTCATGGTCGGCCGCTTCTTTCTTAAACCGAATTAATGCGAATCAACATGTCGCCAAAAAAAAAAAATTAAATGAAAATGAAAATCAACAAACTCTTCTTCCTCATTATTCTTGCTTCATGAGGAAATCCCAACGGACCCAACCGTCTTAAACAGCCCTAATTTTGTCAATACTTTAATTAAACTAAAATTTAAATAATATTAAATCAGTTTCTTAAAAAAAATTAGCTTTCTTTTTTTCCTCATGCTTACCTATTACGTTGACAAAGATGTGAGATTTGGCATAACTTATGTGAAATGAGAGGACAAGCTTTATCCACTTTGAAAAGATAAAAGATTGAATTATAAGTAAGTGAAAAATTGAGAAACTAAATCATAATTAAAGAATTGAATCATAAATAATTTAAAAGTAGAAGGACTAAAAAAATTAATTTTCTTTTCTTTTCTTTTTTTAACAATCTTTTGTTGCTTCTAATAATTTATTAATCTAATACTTGTTATAAAATAAATGAATATCCAATGCGGGCATTGGATTGATCATGTGACCCGGTCATTGTTGTTTTCTTAATTTTCTGCAACAAATAACAAGTCAATATCATTACTTCTTCCGTACCTTTTATAAGAAACAACTATCATTTTTACTTTTTTATTTTTACGTTGACAATACATCTTAAAAGGAAAATTCCTTTTTTTGCCAATGAAAAATAGGTAAATTTCTATTTACAACCATGACCGCGATATGCAAAGCTAATATCACATACGAGCATAACCCTTCCTTTCGCTGCGTAATATAACATATACTTTTTATACATTGTTTTCGGCATGATTAAACATGCTTAGCTTACAATCCAAACTGAACAACCACTGTTCGGCATCATCTTTTTCCATTTTAGCCAAGTACCATCCCACAAAGAGTACACATGTTATCCGCAACTATATCTGCATATTCCTTTTTACCTCTCTGACATTTCACTCTCAACACTAGTGGGTTCCAAATGGCAGATAATAAAGAAGACACAAGCCATATAATCCGGTGTCCTCGCAACCCCAGCATCAATAACTGGCCCAACCAAAAGGGTAAATAACTATTTACTAACATGAAATCAGATCAGAAACTTCCCTGCTTTAACTTCTGATAAAGCTTGCCTTGCTATTGGACTGCTCACTCAAAGGAGCTCTGAGTTGCTTGTTTTTTCGCAGGACGGCTGAAAGGGTCAACAGCAAAGGAATCCAGGGATGGTGCTGGAACCGCTGTCCTACCATCGTGCAATTCTGTACAGTCATCTGCCGGGCCCACCCAAGATAAAGGCAGAGGATTCACTGCATGATGTATATGAATGTTATTATAATGTTGCATTTGTTCATTTGCAGCACTAAAGCCCGTCTTTATATTCAGAAGTTTCATTTTCGCCACAAGCAAAAGTAAATTTGTCAATACCTGGCTCTGCTGAGGCAGGTCCATTGCCTTTATATGGAGCAGCAATTCGAGCAGAGCGCTTCCTCACATAGTCATCTCGCAATGGCTTTGGTATTTGAAATGAAAATCGTGAGAGACTTAATCCATCTCTTTCATACTCTGGATGTTGCATCAAGTACCTGCAAAACAAAGGCAACGCAGAAATGTTAAAAATAAAAATAAATTTGAAAATAAATGCCCATGAATGTTGGCCAAAGGATCACAGAATAATAACAAAAGCGTTACCAATACGTGAAAACCAAAAAAAAAAGAAGGGGGAGTTGGAATTAATTTCTTTGATCACACTGGAAAGATGATAAAGTAGGTTGAGCATACTTCTGGATCTCTACTGTTGAGCGGAGTTTCTTGCCTGATGGTGCTACATAGTATCTGAAATATTAGAAAGAAAATAACCACATTGATCATTGAGGAACGAGAGTCTCCAAAAGGTAGGCTAAAGAAATAGTATGCATACAACATAATGAGTACATAAAATACCCCGAAAAATGATTTAAATAAAATCAATGAGTACATAAAATACCCCGAAAAAATGATTTAAATAAAATCAATGAGTACATAAAATTGAAATATTAGAAAGAAAATAACCACATTGATCATTGAGGAACGAGAGTCTCCAAATGGTAGGCTAAAGAAATAGTATGCATACGAAAAAATGATTTAAATAAAATCAATGAGTACATAAAATGAGTACACAAAATACCCCGAAAAAATGATTTAAATAAAATCAATGAGTACATCAAATTGAAATATTAGAAAGAAAATAACCACAATGATCATTGAGGAACGAGTCTCCAAAAGGTAGGCTAAAGAAATAGTATGCATACAACACAATGAGCACATAAAATGCCCCGAAAAAATTATTTAAATAAAATCAATGAGTACATAAAATACCCCGAAAAAATGATTTAAACAAAATCCGAGACATACAAAACGATGGCAAACCAGCACAATTTCTCACAATGATATAAAAAATTACCACTTAGAAATAATACATAGTGATGTAGGTTTTAGAACCATACTGAGCATTGTCATGGTCTTCGGCATGATTTTGCGAAATATCACATCACCGATATACCCGTCAATTTCAAAACACCACATCTAACATCTTTTGCCTAACATCAAGTCAATACTCTTTATCTGGTTGTAGAGCATTCAAGTTTTCATGTCTTGACATACCATCACATTATACTATAAAGCATCCATGATCTAAATATGGGAAAAAAAAATACAGATAATAAGGGACACATTGCAAATAACAGAATGATTTAGAAGACCCTCCTTTAGAAAAGAAATTTGTAGTGCAAGTCGAAGACGAAAACTTCAGCTAAAAACAATACAAGCATCACATTACAACACCAGTGATTTTCTGATAACATTCAAAAAAATCACAAAGAATAGATGCACGCGTACACGTCTGCAAATTTGGTGCTTCCTTCTCCTCTGATCCTTAGAAGTCGTTGCCATCCAGGAGGAGGCTGTGCAATACTTGGCTTATCAATAGCCCAGAGCCTGCTGCCATCCTGAGAAATATCTTCTGGATCATCACAAGATACATTAGGTCGCCATTCACGGGCAGTTTCACAACTAAAAGGCCGCTCAAGAATATGTTCGCGTATTTCTTGGTACTTTTCCTGCGTTGGGATCAACCTCCATTTAAAACAGTTTGCACATTGTACAGTGAAAGCCCCTACTGATGGCAGAACCCTAGGAATTGAATTTTGAGGTTTGCTTATTGGATGTAATGGAAATTCATACTGAAGAGGATTAGCAGCAAGTTCAATTGCCCGAGCACCATTTGCCACAGGATCATAAAGGACTAATTGATTAGATGCATCTTCGGTAGACAGGTTTTTTTCATTGTCTGTGTCATCATCTGAAGATGATGACGATGATGATGATGATGATGAAGAAATATCTAAAGGATCCTGAGGACAGCCATTTTTACCAATGGGAAAACTTGAACCAGTCAAGTCCTTGGCTTCCTTATTGAGCACAAGGGAAAATTTTCCACAGTTAGACCACATATAATTTCTCCAAGCACCTGCATATTCCAAGGGCATTAAAAAGAAAGGACATCTGCCAAGTTATAAGATTATGAACTGTTCTATTGGTTTCACAGTTCAAAAGATAATTCTTGAACATACTTAGTCCTTACAAGAGGGAACTCTCATTGTCAAGTTTCTACAGACAATGGTATTGATGCCCTTTATTATTATGCTTTTCTTCTTATCGAATACATCCATAAATAAGGCACTTCACAAAATTTATAGTTTATGAGGACCATAAATAGGTAAAACTTGTTAACAGGGAAACGCTTCGTTAAAACATAGCAAAAGGGGAAACTAACTATATATTAAAATAAATAAAAAATAAAAAAAAACTAATCTCTTATCAAAAAAGGTCCCAGAAAAGAAACAAGGCCAAAATTGAAATACTGTTTAAGAATGTGAACTCCAGTTCTGCTAACGGTATCATGAGTTAATTAGTTATCTCGTAAGAGTAAAGGTTCATGGAATAATTATCATAGCTCAGCAGCAGAATATATTAAAGGCATCACAAAGTACTTCACATTTAATTCACAAGGTTCATGGCCACCCAATGTCTTCAATTCTTACTGTTTTAGACCAATACTTCATGCCACTGCCATGCTATGTCAATATGAAAGAATTTAAAACAAGTTAATGCCCCAGCTTCCACACCAGTCTTATGGGGACCTACAAAAGGGTCGAAAATACTGCTAGACAGGAATGGCCATCTAGGATTAATTTCATGAGTTGTTCTATCATAATGCTTGTTGAAGAATATATGCAAGCCCATGCCACAGGACGCTCATCAAAGAAGTGCCTTCTTATCCATGGTATAAACGGGATTCTTACAATCTGAGTGTTAGTAGCACTCCAGAGGTAAAACAAGCCCAAGCAAATGTTGAATTTATCCCCCCCCCCCCAAAAAAAAAAATCTCAAGTATTTAATCATAGACCTACATGGTCTTGTTCTATAAAATTATCAAATGTTAGCTGTATGCTTTTTCCAATGGAACGTAAAAGGCATCCTTTATATAACCATTTGTAAAATTAATAAGGCGAGAAGTATCTTCAAGAGGTATCAAAAACAAAAGTTATAGTAGATCTCTAAGCAATTCAAAAGATGCAGCATAATAGGCAATTATATGACTCTTGGCAATTTAAGAGGTTTCAAAAAGTTGTAGACAATCAGATAATTATATATTGTATATAATTTGCAACCCAACAAATAACAGGGGAAAGCTGACATGAACAATGTCCTGGGACAACAGGACTGAGAAAAAGAAAGCTTCTTTTCACTCAAAATAAAAAACAATGTAGCTCGGAATCAGTAAATTCCCAACATAATTAAAAGAGAACGAAGAAAATGGCTTTACTCAAACCAAATCTTTTTAATCCTTGATTCTGTACGACTGAGCAGAAGGCAATATGTTCCCGTAGCCAGGGTCCCACAGGAAATCTGCGAAAAAAATTAGAGTAATCAAAGTTCAGAGGGAAAAGTAGTACACTTTAAGAACATCAGAAGCCCGGATAAATAAAAAAAAAGGTCTTTATTCTCAGTGTTCTCATTAACCTCGAGCACGTCAGATTTAACAATAACGTGCGAACGGGAGAAAACATTTACAATATATCCCGGGAAAAACTTAACAAAATGTTCTTGTCGTTTTTGTCCGCGTCAGTTTTCCCGAGAAAAACAAAACAAAAACAAAATGATTTACACGAGCTTAGTTTCAGGGGGAAAAAAGGAAAGGTTAATGGTAATCATTCAGCTAGCTTCACGATCTTTCTCATTGCCCAACCTTGTTAACTACATTTTCGCATTTATTGTGCCCAGATATCAAATCAAATTTATGATCCGAAATAAGAAAGCAGATCCACCGAGGGAAATGACTGATAAAAACAACACAAAAAGCGTTAAGTACGCAGGGGCATTCAGATCTTACACGGATTCCACGAAGAAAAACCACCGGGAATTAACAAAATGGATAGACGAAGTTTAAAAAAGCGAACAAGTGGAGGACGTCGGTAGGGGGCGTGACCTGTTCCCCTCGACCGAAGAACAGAGGATCTTTTCATTTTCCTCCTTTTCCTTTATCAGAATCTCGAGGTAAGATTGAAAAATCACAGATTAAGACCAGAGTCCATTAACATTTGAGTTTAAGAGAGTTTCTTTTAATGGAAAATTATCATTTCATTGAAAAATAATGAAAGAACAAAGGCTACAAGAAGAAATAAGAGGGAATTTATTTATGGGTTAACGTCCTGAAGTATTTTACCATCAGCGTATAACACCATAAATTTTTTATAAGTGCAAAAACACACATAAAATTTCTAAAATTGTACAAAAATGTCATAATTATTAAATCAAGTTAAATCAACTAACATTAATAGTTTAGGAAACATATAAGTTAAGAAAATAATATAAAAATGCATATGAAGTTTTTAAAGTTTCATGAAAAAGTCATGGCCGTTGAAAACTTCATTTGTATATTTTTCATCATTTTCTTAGTTGATATGTTTATTAAATAGTCAACGTTAGTTGGCTTATTGTAGTATTTTTGTACTATTTGAAAATTTAGTATCTCCTGTCTTTGATATAAGATCTTGTTTGACTTTTATTTTGGTTCTAAATATAAGATCCTTTTCTATTGTATCTCTCATATTTATGTATTTTTTTCTAAAGTAGTCCTTCTAATAATAGTAGTTCTAACCAATACACTTGATTGGTAAGAATATTTTAGGAAAACAACACCTATTTTTTACAAATAACTGACTTAGCTTATTTTTTAATCTTTTTAAATTAGTCAACTAACTTTTATAATTAGGACCGGAAGTAATATATACTTTTGTACTTAACAAAAGTTTATAGTGTTTCGTGCCCTTTGTGAAATACTTCTTAAATAGATTTGCACATTAACCTTTTATTTAAATATGAGCATGGATTATAAATTATTATATAAGAAATTTTAAATATGAGAAAATTAGTATGAACTAGCTTTTTTTTTTAATATCAACAAATAAGGGGGTGTTTGGGAAACCCAAAACCATGGTTTCAGAAGCACTTTTTCGCAAAACGAGATAATCTCCTCCACATATTTACTTCGTAATCCGTAAAAGCACTTTTAAAATCATGGTTTGGTTTCTATCCAAACACCCCCTAAATCCATTCAAACAATTAAAACCACTACAACTTAAAAGGTTGGCCTATTACAATATCCAAGCAAAATCCAACTAAACCAAAGTAAGCCAGCCCAATGCAGTGAAAAGGAAAAACAAACAAAAAAGGCTACAAACAAAATGAAAAAGAAATCGAAAACGCATACAACTAAAAGTCCTGCAATTTCAACCCAATCTTAAGCCACGTGGCACTATATAAGGTGAGAAGAGGAATTGGTGTAATTCTCATTCCACACAACCAAAAAAAAAAAAAAACCAAACAAACAAACTAGAAAACAATTCCTCCACAAAGTTAGACCAAAGTCACCAACTTCACGTTGGAGATGACAGGTAAAGTCGTGGGGGTTAGACCAATGGGATTAACCTAGAACAGCAACAAGAACATGCACTCTAACTACCAACAACTTCATAAACATATCTAACAAACATGCAGACCATAAAGCTTAAGGGCTCAACTTACTTATGAACACTAATCAATCATCAATACTATCTAGTCATGTTTGAATGCATCAAAGAAGATGAAGGCCACCCAAAGTAACAAAAGCAATATGAGGGAAACACAACTCTAGTCGTTAAATCATGCCACTCCAGACATTTATATCTTTAAGGATAATAAAATGTAGATATAAATACCTAGAAGCTAGAAGAACCATAATGACGGTAACCATGAACTTAGAAGCAAGGTAAGTAAACCGGTTAACAGCATAGACATAAGTCAAAACAATTTATTAGAGAAACACAACTACTGAAAAAGAAAAACATATCAAGAAACAAATGATGTAGTACTCCAAGATGGACCTCTAAGTGGCTACTAATTAGGTCCTCAATGGAATCATCTACGTGCATGGAGCCTTTTGGAGATTCCAACATACATCTTCGACACAACAACTCAAACAACAAATTCCAAAAGGTTCCAAAAGTAGAATTCTCTCATCGAAAAAATGTTGAAACTAACTAGGTATTAAAGGTTATAAATATCCTAGATATTGGAAATTCCAGAACCCATTAATAAACCACTAAGACAAAGCCTTGCTGCAACAACCAGATTCAACCGTGAACAATTGAATCAAGTACTAGTCACATGTTTAGTATGAAGAGGTGATAAAATCGAAGAGTCCAAAAAACAATGGCAAACTAGTATCATCCGGTAAAACTAATATATAGGATCAACTAACAGAATCGATCATATAATTGTTTATTTTTATTTTTAAATTTTAATTTGTGTTTATAAGCTATGATTCATGCATGTATTATTACTAAGCATTCAGTAAGGGTGGAAAATAGGCAAGATACATCTATGTATGCATGTACATATGTATGTTTTAAGATTAAGAATTATAAAATAAGTGTACAAATATATATATTAATTGAAAAATATGGAGTGTTGATGAATATTGCTTTTATAATTATGCTCCTCTTGTTCAAAATATAAAACCCATTTGTAGTGTAAATATACTCGTATATTACTTTTCTTTGAATTCAATTATGAAATTTTATTATTATAAATGGTTATTTCTTTATATTTTAAGCTAATATCATTTAAAATATATTAACTTTTGTCATGATTGGTTTATTAAAGCTGATCCATGATCCAATCATCAAACCCTAAATCAAAGTCTCAATTTGTTTGATGGCGGATTCGATTTTTTCAACATTGAATCAATGACCATTAATGAGAAATCTTGGGAAGTAACAAAAAAATTGACAATTTAAATGTATTTTTTCCTATTGTAAAAGATTTGATACTGAGGTCTGAGTTTTCTTACTTATCAAATTCTTTTTTCCCACAACTCCTACTTATTATCAAAGATAATATATACAATTTCTTATTCTTAACATAAGAGTTAGATAATTAATTTAAAAATATTAAAAAATTAATTAAATTACTTAATTGTAATAAATATGAGTTGACTTTCTTAAATTATCAATGCATTAGAACTCTTCATTGATGAGAATTCATTACAATCAATAAGAATATTTTTTAGAAAACATTATAAATTTAAGAGATAAAGTATATTGAAGTCTTATATCTAAAACCAAATCTAATATCCAATTAACTCTTATATTAAAGACCCGAGATAATACTCCTCCGGTCCTTAATATAATAACTATTTAACTAATTTGATTAGATTAAGAAAGTTATGTAAGTTAGTTAATTATAAAAAATATGATATATTTTTTCTAAAACACCATAATCATCTTTCTTAATATCCTCCCTCTCTTTTCTACTTAATTATGGTTGAGTGAATATTTATAAGGATAATTTTAAAAAAACTGATAAATATAATAAATAGGTCTTATATTTGAAACCAAAATCAACTAACAATTAGATTATGTATTAAGGATTGGAGAAGTATATATTATCTTTGCTAATCTAAGATTATGTTATTGTTGATTTCTTCATATTTCCAAAAACATTGTGCTTGAAGACCCATTCTTTTTTCAGGCCAAAAAAAGGACCGATGATGTCTCTCCTTTCTTATGCTTAGAAGAAAAATCGTAGCGATGATCAATCATTATTAAGCTTGTTTGAAACTACCTATATTAAGTATTTACAAGTATGTTTACATAACAAAATTTTTTTTACATATTTATTTTGTTATCACTGAGCTGTTTTTAAAGAGTGCTCTTGAAATCCAAAAAAGTACCGCCACCACCGTAATCAGTGGCCATTTTAAAGAATAAGAGGGTGTTTAGATGAAATCAAACCATAGTTTAAAAAATAGTTTCTGGAAAATAAATTCTTAGAAGAACAAATTTTGTGAAAAATAGATATTGTAAAAAAAATGATTCTGATATAATGAGAGTGTTTGAATAGTTGTTATTAAAAACACTTTTTATATGTCTAAATTACTAAAAAGAACATAAGTTAGTATGATAATTATATAAAAGATAGATTTTATAATATATTTGAATTTGAAGAAATAACTTTGTTGATAATATATTTTTTTTACCAATGTAATTAATAATATATAAGAAAATATAATTAATAAATAATTAATATGTGTATATATGTTTATGAAATATAAGATTAAATATGTTTATAGAAAAATATTTTTTTCGCTAACAAAAAATATTAATTTATCCCATAACATATTACCTATGATCTTTAATATAATTAATTAATTGTTGCTATGTGTATATATATATTTATAAGGGAAAATTGCAAAAAAGACCTTGGAATTGCAAAAACGCAGATAGGGACCCTTGACAACTTCACTTTGGGTTTTGACAACTTCAGGGCATATTATTCTTGTCAAAACCCAAAGTGAAGTTGTCAAGGGTCCCTATCTGCGTTTTTACAATTCTAAGGTCTTTTTTTGCAATTTCCCCTATTTATAAGGTATAAAAGTAAAAATATTTTAATTGAGTAAAAGAGAAGCAAAGGAGGAATGACAGGGAGATTTTTGAAGAGCGAAGGATAGAAGACGGAATGAAGAGCGGAGAAAAAGAAGAAATGATTGAGGGCTGTTTTGTCATGTACAGTTGGCCTTTTTCTGCTTCATAAAATTTGAGCCAGAAAGTGAAATAGAGGCTTTGTTTGGGTAACATCCCAAACTATAGTTTAAGGAAAAAAAATTGCCAAACAGGAGGCAAAATTAACAAATCATGGTTTGTGGCCAAAACTATAGTGTTGGATTCAAAACAATGATTTCAGAAAAAGTGAATATATTCTGTTTCTGGCTTAAATTGAAAAGTATGATTATGCCTATCAGAGTAGATCTCAACGATAATATCTTTAATCCCTCAGTTATTTTTTACAAATATATTTAATCTTATATTTTATAAATATATATACAAATATTAATTATTTATTAATTACATTATCTTATATGTCATTAATTATGTTGGTTAAAAATATATTATTAGTAATTTTATTCCTTCAAATTAGAATGTATTATAAAATCTATTTTTTATGTAATTATCATATTAATT